CCAGCCCTTCTCACGCGGAGCCTGAGCGTGGCCCTTGCACCACGCCGGAGCCGCACCGACCGCGCTGCACTGCACGCCTCCTCCCCAGCGCCCAAAGTGAGTTCCTTTCCTCGGAATGTCGCGTTTCGCCTCCTAGAAGCAGGGCCAGAGCGGCGGAGGTGTACTTTGCTCCGTGCTTGCGCAGCACGTATTTATCAAATGCCCACTGAGTGTCAGGCACAGCTGAGCATCGGGTTTACACTGGTGAATAAAACAGGTGTGCGATGTAGAGCGTACAGTTTAGTGGGAGATGCAGACAGAAAGCAAGTAAAGTAAATAAATAGCAATTGCAACACACACCCAGACTTCATATCCCTTTTCCCCAGTTATTTTTCTCTTCAGTATTTAACAGTAACATAACATGTTTTCTATTTTGATCTTATTTAATCACGCTCTCACTGGAATATAAGATCCATGAGTGCAAGAGTTTTTGTTTCTTCACTGCTGTGAAACCTGCTCCTAGACCAGTGCCTGGCACATAGTAAATATATGTTTAATGAATGAATACATAATAATGTGATGAATAAGCAAATAGGGTACCTTCTAGAGAATGAGAAGGGGGTGGTTCGGGGAGGGCTCTGAGGGCAGGTGACCTTGAAGCAAGGCCTGAGGGTGAGGAGAGTCATCCAGGCAGAGGCAACAACATGTCAAGGCCTGGCTTCTTAGACTGAAAAGGTAGAGGCTGAGAGAAGATGTGAACCTGGTCTTTAAAATTCATGACTGACGTGGCCAGCTTCTCTACTAATTTCCAAAATACTAGGGAGAGTGGGATTAGTAAAACATGGAGAAAGTAAATTTAAGGCAAAGAAGGCTAAATAACCCTCACACTGTACAGCAGTTTACAGTTAATAGGGCTCCTTCACTTACCTCACTTTATCTCTGAAAAACCTTTGGGGAGTAAGAAGTCAGCAATAAAGAGGGAATCAGATCTCATTCACTCTTAATACAAACCTGGTACATAACATGCAAGAAAAATGGGTTGAACTGATGTGACACCAAGCTAGGCTGCAAGCTCTGTGAAGGTAGAGCCCATGTTTTATTAACCTCTGCTGTATCCCAGCACCTAGCACTGTGCCTGGCTCCCAGACCTTATATGTAAACTGAGTACTCAGCACTCACCTGAGCCTTCCATATGCCACGCCTGTGCTTCGTGGTAGAATACAGAAAGAATAAGGCACCATGCTTGCCCTCAAGGGGTTCTCAACCTGCTAAACCTTCCTGAAATCATAGAACCAGCAGTAGAACCAGGTTTTCTTTCCTCTAAAGAGCAGCCTTTCCTCTATAAGAGAAAGATTTATTGCACACAGGAACTACCCTTCTAAAACCAATGATAGTAAGTGGTAAGAGAATTTGGACAAGTTCTGATCAGGAGAACACTGGGCACCACACAAGGAGTTTGGATTGTATCTTGTAGGCAGTGGGGAGCTATTGAAGCTTGCTAAGCAGGGGACTGTTGTGATCAGAGCTGGTGGGAGGTGTGCTGATTGATGGTGTAGGGGGAGACTGGAAGCACATCGTTTGGGCCCATGGGAAGCTCCAGTGTAAATGGGTGTGGAAAGCAGGAAAAGTGGGAAAGATCTTAAAGGTTAGGGCTCCTGGGAAGTGATTGGTAACCAAGAAACAGGACTTCACTGTCTTCTAGCAGGTGTGGTGGTTTGCTCCTCTGCTTTTCCACAGACTTGGCGCACACCTTGATTCTAGCACTTTATGCACGAATGAAGCTACTGCCCTTGGGAAGCTCCAGGGTGCCCGTAAAATTCCATGGCAGTTTGGCAAGTTGGGTCCCCGTTCTGTGCCAGCCCAGTGCCAGGCACTGGGAATTGGAGATGAAGACACTCTCCTCTGCCCTCTAGAGCATGAAATCCAGGGAGAAAGAGCAGCCTGGAATCTTAAGAGACCAGGTATGTGCACTAACTTTGCCACTCCTGCTTCCTGGCCTCAGTTTTCTCCATTGTGAAATGAGGAACAGCATGGCCTACTTATGTACAGCTGTCGAAAGGACTGAGTGAGGCAGTGCATCTATCTTATCCTGGTTCTTATCTGTTTAGTGGATGACTCCTCCAGGACAGAGATGAGTGTCAGTCACCTCTGTGTCCCAGCACCTCATTCAGCAGCCCCTGCCCAGTAAGTGTCTAAGAGGCAGGAATGAATAGGAGGAAATCAAAGACTGGAGCTTTTATTTTTTTAATTTTATTTATTTATATTTTAAAATTAATTAATTAATTTATTTTTGGCTGCGTTGGGTCTTCATTGCTGCACGCGGCCTTACTGCGGCGAGCGGGGGCTACTCTTCGCTGCGATGTGCAGGCTTCTCATTGCGGTGGCTTCTCTTGTTGCGGAGCACCGGCTCTAGGCGCATGGGCTTCAGTAGTTGTGGCACGCGGGCTCAGTAGTTGTGGCTCACGGGCTCTAGAGTGCAGGCTCAGTAGTTGTGGTGCACAGGCTTAGATGCTCCGCAGCATGTGGCATCTTCCCCAACCTGGGCTCGAACTCGTGTCCCCTGCGTTGGCAGGTGGCTTCTTAACCACTGCGCCACCAGGGAAGTCCAAGACTGGAGATTTTGGAAGAGTGATATTTACATCAAATAACGCTCTGGGACATCAGACTTCCCCTAAGTTCTGTTCTCAGACAAGAGGGAGAGAAGACCCTCTTTTGCTTTGATTTGCCTGTGGATTTTTTTTTTAATATTTATTTATTTATTTGACTGCACCGGGTCTTAGTTGCGGCATGCGGGATCTTCATTGCTGTGTGTGGGATCTTCATTGCAGTGTGCGGGATCTTTAGTTGTGGCATGTGGGATCTTTTAGTTGCAGCATGCAGGATCTAGTTCCCTGACCCGGGATTGAACCCGGGCCCCCTGCATTGGGAGCACAGAGTCTTAACGGCTGGACCACCAGGGAAGTCCCTGCCTGTGGAATTTTCAATGAATAGTTTCCTTACAGGTGAGATGACCAAGTCTATTTCTATATAAACTGTATAGTTCCACATATGAAGACAGAGAACCTTGATAAATCTCAAACTGCCCTCACAGAAACATCTCAAAATAAATCATAACCATTTAAATTTTCCTCCCTGATCTTTCTTTCAGACAATGTTTACCTAATGGCCCTGAAACCAAGCTCCTTTCCTTCTTTCCTTTCATATAACATCCATATTTTTAAATGTACACTGTTCTAGTTCATAAAATGAATAAAAAACAGGTCTCTGCCCTCAAGGAGTTCACAGTCTCAAAAGAAGAGAAAACCACATAAACATGTAATTTCAGAACAGTGTGAAATGCTATAGGGTAGAGATTCATTCACTGGAAGAGCATTTATTGAGCACCTGCAGTGACCAGGGCTGGACCAAGTGCAGTGAGTGCTGCAGGAAGCAGGAAGCCAAGCAGGCCTTCAGAGGCTCCAGCCTATTCTCTTCCTCTCCCACTCATCCCTCCCTTGTTGTCAGTTACCCAGAGCTCCATCTCCAGACTCAGGTACCTAGACCTATTTAATCCAACTGGCAGCTGGATTTTGCCCTTGGATGTCCCACAGGCACTCAGTGTACCTCAAACTGAACTTAACCATCTCCCCCACTTGCTCTTTCCCCTAAAACTCAACTTCTCTTGGACCCACTATCCACCCACGGATCCAAGCCAGACACCTGGATGTCCCTTCAACCCCTCTATCCCCCTCACCTGCTCACCTCACATCCATCAGTCTCTGTGTCCTGTTAATTACTGCTTCAGGATTTCTCTAATTGACCGCTGTCCTCTCGTCCTCCCTGAAGCTCCCCTGGTCCAGGTCCTCATTATCTCTCACCTGCACCATCATGACTTCCTCCTCCTCCTGTTTTCCTGTGATTGAACAACAATATGTTCTGAAACCAGACAGAGCAGAGTTAAAGTCCCAGTGCCATCATTTGGGGACTTTTGTCACCCTGGGTAAGTTATTAAACCTCTCCAGACCCCAGTTTTCCCATCCATAAAATGACACCTCCAGGACTGGCCTTGTTGTAAAGATTAAATGAGATGCAGCAATTTGATAGGTGACTCACCAACAGTGGTGAGTGAAAGGAACCAGACACAGAAGAATGCATTCATATGATTCTGTTTAAAGGTAGAAACTAAGCAAAGCTGATAAATAATGGGTAGGGCTGCAAATAAAGGTGGCACAACTAAGGAAAAGCAAGGGAATGATTATATCAAAAGTCAGGGTGGGGCTTCCCTGGTGGCGCAGCGGTTGAGAGTCCCCCTGCCAATGCAGGGGACATGGGTTCGTGCCCCGGTCTGGGAAGATCCCACATGCCGCAGAGCGGCCGGGCCCGTGAGCCATGGCCGCTGAGTCTGCATGTCCGGAGCCTGTGCTCCGCAGCGGGGAAGGCCACAACAGTGAGAGGCCCGCGTACCACAAAAAAAAAAAAAAAAAAAAAAGGGTGGTGGTGTGTGGAAAGGAGCGGGGGTGTGATCAGGAAGGAACACAAATGTGTGGCTTCTGGGATGTCAGCAAGGTTCTTTTTACTTGAGTGAGAGGTGCTTACGAAAGGGTTCTTTTATTTATTTTATTTATAATTTATCTATAATTTATTTTTATAACTTTTATAAATATTAAGTTGTACATGAATGTTGTACTTCATCACTTAAAATATTTTAAAAATTCAATGAGATTTTCTATGTAATCTTAATCCAGCACTCCTCAGAGCACGCGAAGAGGTCAAGAAACCATGGTTGTCCGTTCCAATCGCTGTGCCCTGTCTCCCTGCCTCCCCCACCAGACAGCAGATCCCAGGATTGATTCACCCCTGTCCCCAGTACTCACACAGAGCTTGGCACCTGCAGGCCTCAGGGAGAATGAGCGGAATAGAGGTGACCAGATTGTAACCACATGTTTTCCCTCTTCCAGGCTGGCAAGGGAGCAGGGCCTGGGCCTACTCTGGGAAGAGCACCCGGTTGCCCGCACCCCCTGCCTGACCAAGGCCCACTGACAATGGACAAGGGGGAGGAAGACGACGATGAGGAAGCCTGGCTGCAGCTTCGGCCGGTGGAGCCCTTGCCCTCCCAGTGCTGCGGCAGTGGCTGCTCACCCTGCGTGTTCGACCTCTACCAGCGAGACCTAGCAAGTTGGGAGGCAGCCCGAGCCAGCAAGGACAGGAGCCTGCTGAGTGGAGAAGAGACACAGGTGAGGGGGAGCAGTGTCCACCTGGCCTCAGCCCTGTGCAGTGTACCTGCTCGGGGAAGCTTCCTCTGACTCTGTACAGCAGAGAGAAAAGAGTGGGCTTAATGGAAGCAGACTGACCCAGGTTCAAAGCCTGGCCTTGAGCTGGTGAGTGGGACATGGGGCAGGTGGCGAGGGGAGGTCCCAGGAGTGAATTGGGTGTGGGCATTTTACAGGAGAAGGAGATCTGTGAGTCGTGGTATTCAGAGAAGACTTCCCGGAGGAGGTAGAGGTGGGGTGGAATATTAAGGACAGTGGCCTGAGACTTGGAAGACATGAATTTGAGTCCCTGCCCATGGTGTGACCTTGTACAAATAAGTCACTACCACTCAGGCCTCAGTTTCCCCACATATAAAATAAGGATATTGGATTAGATCATCCGTTAGGTCCCATCAATTTCTAAATGGTGCAAATCTGGATTTTAGCAGGTTTGAAGGATGGGTAGGTCTTTCATACATTGGAGATAAGTGTTCTGGATAGAGGGCACAGCTTGAGCAAATAAAGACTCACAGGTAGGAAGCTGCAAGGTATTCTTGAGAGTACAGAGAAAAGTCTGGTGTCTGATGCCTGGGAGATAAAATGAGACTTGGGGCCCATCCACAGGGCCCTTGAGTGTTCAGTTAAGGACCTTGCACTTTATCCTGGGGCTGAGGGGAGCCGTACAAGGCTTCAGAGCAGGGTGAGCTCAATGTAAAGTGTTCTGGCATTCTTAGAGCCTGAAAGGGAAGTAAGGTGGGACTACGCTGTTACAGAGAAAACTTACTGGCCTTGATAGCCTCTCCTTGTGGGGAGGATGCCCATGGATGCTTGCATTTCTCTTGAGTCCCAGCTTCTAGCTGTTGAATCTTTTCCTGTTGCAGACCTGTCCTTCCAAGCTGAGCCCAGAGACCTTCCTAGCCTTCTGCATCAGTGCCACGGACAGACTCACTAAGGACACCTACCTTGTCCGGTTTACATTACCTGGGAACAGCCAGCTCGGCTTGCGGCCTGGCCAGCACCTCATCCTACGGTACACTCAGGTAGTGGGAGGACCCAGGCTTTGCAGCCCTGCTCTGCCATTTGCTAGCTGTGTGGTCTAGGGCAACTTGCTTAACCTTCCTTAAACCTCCATTTGTCATCTTCAGAATAAACATAGAAATACATGACTCAGAGGGCTCTTGGAATTGAACTAGATAATGCATTTTCATAATAAATAATAATAACAGTAACAGCAAACACTTTTTTAACACTTAGTATCCAAGGCACAGTTCTGTGTGCTCATATGTATAAGCTCATTCATTCCTCACAAAATCCTGTGTGGTAGACACCATTGTCATGCCCGAGAGGAAACTGAAGTCAGAGAGGTTTAGTAACTTCCCCAAGATCACACAGTTAGGAAATGTTGGAGCCAGGATTTGAAAGCAAGCAGTGTGTCTCCAGAGCTTGTGGTATTAACCTCATATGATTAGCACCAGTTGATAGAGAAGACACCGTTATTGAAAATAAGGGAGTTGCCCAGTATCACACAGCTAATAAGGATTCAAACCCAAACAGCCCGCCTCCTGAGTTACACCCTTCATTCCTCTGAACTTCCTTCTTCCTTCCAGCTGACTTTTGTACTCTTCTCCCACCTTGATCCCCACCTCCACCTACACAGGGACAGGACCCTTTGGGACCTCCAGATGGAGGTGACTGCCAGGCAGTTGACTCTCTGGGTCTGAAGCTCAGCAGAGAAATCTGAGCTGCAGACGTGGATCTGGAAATCATCCAGGTATATTGTTATGCCTGGATTGCATTTGGGAGCATGTGGGGCATGGAAAGAGGGAAGGAGGTAGGACCGAACCCTGGCAACTCCAGCATTTATGGTGTTGGCAAGAGGAGGCAGAGCCATCAAAGGAGACGGAAAGTCTAGCCAGTACTTGCCTCGCACTGACCCCTGGTGTTTGTGCCCAGCTTGTTCTGGCCTGTGGGCTGGCTGACGGTCCTTAAAGATCACTGTTGCAGTGGACAGGAGGGGCCACTGGACAGGTCACAGCCCCAAGCAACCCTCCATCCATAAGTCAGGGATGCCCAGAACTACCTGCCTCTAGTCTGGCCCCTCTCTGTCACTCCAGTGACATTCCTAACCCATGCAGCTGACCACATCCCTCCTCGTTCAGCCCCCTTCTGGTACTCCACAGTGCCTCCCCAGTGACACTGTAAGCCAAGGCCCCAGCCTCCTTGCCCACCAAGTTCTTCTCCATACCCCCCCAACCACCCCCATACATGCCCCTTGTTCCAGCCCCGAGGTCCACTCGCCAGTTCCTGGCTTGCCTTACATTATCCTACCTCTAAGCTTTTGCCCAGGCTGTTCCCTCTGCCTGGAATTACTTTACTTCCTGCCCATTGTTACCTGTTAGTGGCCTGCTTGTCCTTTAAGACCTTCTGAGCTCAAGGCCTTCTGAGGTTCCCTAGGTGAGAGTGCCTGTCACTTTTACCTCTGTCATAGCAAATGTCACAGTGCCCTTTGCATCCGAGCCATGCCATATGTTCTGTTTGTTATTTCCTTGTTTTTTCTGTAAGCATTTATTGAATATTTCTGCCCAACTTTTGATACATTGGGACAGGCCTTTTTAATCTTTGCATACCTCAAAAGAAGAAAATTTTGTACATAGTAGGGCTCAAGAGAGGAGTGCTTAGGTGCTCCAGGGAAGCTCTGAGTAGTGGTAAGGAACCCAGACCTGGAGGCAGACACAGCTACAGATGAATTCTAGCTGTGTGACCTCAGGCAGGTGACATCCCTTCTCTAAGCCTTGGTTTCCTCATTTTGGTTATTGTTTTTTTTTTTTTTTTTTTTCACGGTACGCGGGCCTCTCACCGCTGAGGCCTCTCCCGTTGCGGAACACAGGCTCCAGACGTGCAGGCCCAGCGGCCATGGTTCGCAGGCCCAGCGGCCATGGTTCACGGGCCCAGCCGCTCCGCAGCACGTGGGATCCTCCCGGACCGGGGCACGAACCCGCGTCTCCTGCACTGGCAGGCGGACTCTCAACCACTGCGCCACCAGGGAAGCCCTTGGTTATTGTTTGAAATAAATGAGATACTGCATATAGTATACTTGGTGCATCATAGGCATTTACTACAACATGGCTGCTCTTATTATTACTCGCGATCGTGCTCCTGGCCCCCTTGTTGATAACACTGGAGGGGATTCATGCATGGGGTCAGGCTTTGGACTAGGGCACCCCTGAGGATCCTTTCACTTCTGATGCTGCTGGCATGCGGTCGTGTTTGATAAATGTTAAACGCTTGTTAAATATAGTTATTTTTATCTTGATCATTCTGTGGTCGAAGAGAGGTCAGGAAAAACCCAAGTGATGTCCTAAAATAGCTCACATCATCAGTGTACTTTTTTTTTTTTTTTAAATTTATTTTGGCTGCGTTGGGTCTTCGTTGCTGCATGCGGGCTTTCTCTAGTCGCTATGAGTAGGAGCTACTCTTTGTTGCAGTGCGCAGGCTTCTCATTGCAGTGGCTTCTGTTGTGGAGCACGGTCTCTAGGCGCGTGGGCTTCAGTAGTTGTGGCTCGCGGGCTCTAGAGCACAGGCTCAGTAGCTGTGGTGCACTGGCTTAGTTGCTCCGTGGCATGCGGGATCTTCCCAGACCAGGGCTTGAACCCATGTCCCCTGCATTGGCAGGTGGATTCTTAACCACTGCGCCACCAGGGAAGCCCATCCGTGTACTTTTTGAAGCACTTTTTCACCTGTGACCCCTGTGGAGCCACACAGCAGGGGCATAGACAGTTGTCTCCATTTTACAGAAGGGGCAGCTGAGGGTTTAAATGACCTGCCCAGGGTCTCACAGCCAGCACGTGGCAGTGGGGGGAGCCCAGTGCTATTTTCTTCTGCTCCATCTTGCCTGCCTCTCAGTGAGGACCACTGGGGATGACTGGGCCCCCCACCTTCACTTTCACCAGCCTGGCACAGATTTGGTACTCTATAAGAGTTTGTTGAATGACTGGCTGACTGCCTGACTGAGTGCTTCTCTTTCCCAGAGGGATAGTAGATGGCTTAGAAATTCAGAGAGCCTATACACCCATCAGCCCTGCCAACGCAAAAGGATACTTTGAAGTTTTAATCAAGGTGAGCCAACTCACACGGATGCTCTAAGAGGCTGTGGACTGGACCTCCATTTGCCAGCTTGGTCAGGGTGGGGCACTTCCCTCTGACATGGGAAAAGCCAGCGCTCACATGGGAGGATGAGGGAAGAGCAAGGACAATGAAAGAGGCCTTTTCTCATCTCCTTTCCTGGGGAAAGGAGGCTACTGGTCCACCAACAGAGGGCATGTTCCTGATAGATTTTATGGAAAACAGGCTTGAACTGAGAAAAGTAAAGCTGTTCCTCCTCACCTTCTTCCCTATTGATGGAGTGTAAGCACTGAGCCAGGGAAAAGGGAACCAAGTCATGTGCACCTACTGTGTGCTGGGCACGGGTGTCCAGGGAGAGTCAGACACGGCGCCCGCCCTCAGACAGGGGCCAGACTGGGACAGTACAAGGTGGTAGATGCTGTGACAGGAGGCCCCAACCGAACTCAGGGCAGCTGGGGCTGCAGGGAAGGTGAGCTGGGCTTCCCAGAGGAAGCTGTGTGTCTGAGCTCTATGTTTAAGCTCAGGAGTGGGAAGGAAGCTCTGAGCGCTGTATCAGCACGTACAGTGGCAAAGGAGGCATGATTTGGGGAACTGTTAGTCATTTGTCCTGGAACACTTTTGTAGGCAAAAGATGGGACATGGAGGACCTTGGGGGCCAAAGTAACCTGAAATCATCTCGCAGGTGGGTTGGCAGGGGTCGGGGCATTTGAGTTGGGCCTTGAGGAAGGAATACAAGTTAGCAGTGGCATTCCAGGGGGATGGATAAGCGAAGGCAGGGAGGGGTGAAATAGAGCAGGGTCTTCTGGGAGCTGTACCCAGTCTGAGTGGTGGGAGCAGAGTTGCTTGTAGGGGCAGCCGAGATGGGTGGGGAAATTGGCAGAGATGAGATGAACAAAGTGGGCTAGATGCAAAATATCCCAGAGGCCCAAGGAATAGGCAACAAATGTATAAGGCGTCATGAAGGTCCAATTATGTGCAAAAATAATTAGGTTGAACTACATGAAATTGCTGACATGCTAACATTTTTGACTTACAGAAATAGCAGTTTCATATGGGTCAGCCTAATACATAGCTCTAGATCATTTCCCAAATGGAATCCTAGGGAACACCTATATTTAGGAATAGTTTTCACATCCTTTGTCTCCCTTGTAGGACAGGAATTATCCCCATTTCACTGATAAGCAAACTGAGGCCCCAGGAGGGCCTGAGGCTCCCCAGGTAGTAAGAAGTACAACTGGTAGGTGAGCCCTGGCCTTCTGACTCCAGGTCCCCAGCACCGTCTCTGGCTCCCAACCATCCCCGCCTGCCTTCAGAGCTGGAGTATTTATTCCCTCACACATAAGCTTGGATGGGATCCCTTTTCCACGCAACTGTTTGTCTGGGAGATTCCACAAATCCTCTCCAAATGGCCTGCTTCCCCAAGCTGCTTGTCTGGGTGTGTTTCTATTGAAAGGATAAGCCTGGAGACAGTTCTTCAGGGCAGCTGGATTTCTCCCAGCTGCAAGGCTGATTTTCTCCTTCATTTACCGGAAAGCCTCTCTTTAGAGAGATGCTTAATTATCCCTAAGCCACTGGCTGGGAAGATCTGGAAATGTCTTTGCAAATTGGGAAGGCAGGCGGGTTTTGTAAGGTTTACCCTCCCATGTAGATGGGAAGGAGGAGCTCTCATTTCTCTGGCACCTTCTGGGCACCAGGTACTGCTTCTAGCTCTTTATTTTAATTATCTCGTTTCAACCTCATAATCACCCTGCAGAGTAGATCATATTCTCCCCACTTTACAGATGAAGAAACTGAAGCCCAGAGAGATGATGTCATTGTCCCAAGGTCCCTGGGGTAATATGATCTCAAGTGGAAGAACAAATTCAGTGTCAGTTCTGTTCAACAAGTGTGTATTGAGCATTTACTCTGTGCCAGGCTCCGTGTGGGGGCCAGAGGCACAGAACAATCCTTCCTTTCTCCTTGAGTGCTATCTGCGCCATAGGGCCACTAAGGCCACCCCTGGGGCTGTGCCTCCCCGAGACTGGGGCCACAAAACAAGGTGTGCGCTGAAATATAGCCTCCAGCAACTTAGGAGAAAAACTGTAGCCTCCTCCCCAGACCTCTTCAGGTAAGCGCAAGACTTCCCTTGCTTTGTGCATGTGGTGCCCAAGGAAGGCAGGGATGGTACCAGAAGTAGCTGTGGGTGCTTAAAAGCATGTCTGGTGACCAAAGCCCAGTCTCTCCTTCAAGCCTGGTTATAATTTCTCCAGACACCCTTCCTGGGCTGTCTTACCCCTGACCATACCACACCTGATGCCCAGAATTCCCTCTGCCCTCCTTCCCTCATCCCCAGTGAGTTTGAGTCTACCCAGTCTTCAAGGTCCAGCTTAGCTTTCCCTTCCAGGAAGCTGTCCTCGATCCCACTCCATTGGAAGTGACTGCACTTCCTCAGGGCTCTCCTAGCACTTCATCCTTCTCACGGCAGGTTAGGTAGTCTCTACCTTGTATATGTCTGAGACTTAGGTCCCTCGTAGATTGTGAGCTCCTTAAAGGGAGGGCCTGAATCTGGGTTCATTCATTCATTCATTCATTCGGATGTTTAAGTCCTTTCCATGACTCAGGCACTGGCTGCCTCCATGGAGCTTAAGATCCAGCTGTCTCCCCTGCAGCCCCAGCATGGTGCCTGACAGAGTCAGGGCAGTGTGCACTTCCCCCATGGAGGAATCCCCTCCACAATCTTCACTTTTTTCATCCAGACAGAGGACAGTGCAGGGATATGCAGAGATTGCAGATGAGGCGGACTCTAGCCCGTAAATATATTTGGTCTTGGCCTGCACAGTGTTTTAAAATTTTGAATTAATTGCCAACATTTCAAAAATGGGAAAATTTTCACAAAAATATGGATTTCCTGCCCCTCTTAGAGAGTCAGAAGATCTGGCATCGCTGGCCCCACGGACTGTGTACTGGAATTTGCAAAGTGGTTTCCTCCTTTAGAAAGAGTATTCACTCACCAATTTACTGTAGTCCCCACCGCTCTTTCTTGTCTCCCTGATGCCGAGACTGTTAGTTGCCATCGATCATCTCATACCCAGTTCTTCACTCAGTTATGTTACCCACATGGCCATTGTAGTTATTTGGTTTGAGACCTCTGTAGTTAAGGCCGTAGGTCTTATGGATTCTCATCCCAGTCTTACCATTTACCTTCTGTGTAAGCTTCTTGGCCTCATCTGAAAACGGGGAACGACAGTACCAACTTCATGGATAATTAGGATTAAATGACACAACACGTGTAAAGCACTGGGAGTGCAGGAAGGGCTCCACTTCCGAGGCTGATGTGGTTTGTATTGGCAACATGTGCCTGTCTTAATGAGGTCTCCCTTCGTTTCCTCCCAGTGCTACCAGACAGGGCTGATGTCCCAGTATGTGGAGTCCTGGAAAGCAGGAGACACAGCTTTCTGGCGAGGACCTTTCGGAGGCTTCTTCTATAAACCAAACCAGGTCAGTGCCTGCACTGAGTCCTCAGGAGACCCCTCCCAGCTTAGCTTCCAGGAATGTGGTTCTCATGTTTCAGGCCATAGAATCTCACTGTGCCATTCTTCTTGAGCCCAAACCTAATCCCAAGAGTATCCTTGGGGTTGGACATGGGAGGAGATGGGAATAGGCACTAAGAAACAAAACTGCCTGCCCGTGTTCCAGAACCATCCTTGCCTGCCCATTGCTTGGAAAAATGCAGACTATGAGCTAGGTATTTAGGGCCCTTATGCCATCTGACTCTCAGATATCTTTCCAGTTTCACATTCCATTTACAAGACTATGAGACCACTCCCTAAATACACCCTGTGGCTCACTGCTTGGGAACCCCCTGCTTCCCAACCCAAAGGCTCTTCCCCTCATCTTCACGGCATGTTCACATCCTCCCCTGACATTCCCAGGAAGAATCAGTAATTTCTCATCAGTTGGTGCATATCTGGGAAGCAATTTGACAATATGCACTGGGAGTCTTAGGAATCTTCACACCCTTGACCCAGTGCTTCCACTTCTGAAGTCTGTCCTATGGAAAGAATCCAAAATGCTGCCTCTTGCACATGTTCATTGCGGCTTTATTTATAATAGCAAGAAATTGGAGACAACTGAACATCCAACAACAGAACAGTTAAGTACACTGGGTTACAAATACGTGATAGACTATTATCTTGGATTTTAAAATTATGTTTATAAATGATGTTAATGCTTAAGCTGTAAGATCAAGTGACAAACACTAGGTAAACTGAATATACAACGTTAGGAAACTAAGTTAAATTGCACAGAAAATATATATATTTTTTAAAAGAATTCCCTTTCTTTCTTTCTTTCTTTCTTTTTTTTTTTTTCTGGCCACACCGCATGGCATGCGGGATCTTAGTTCCCAGACCAGGGATTGAACCCAGGCCCCCTGCGGTGGAAGTGCAGAGTCTTAACCACTGGACCACCAGGGAAGTCCCCAGAAAAAATATTTTTTTAAAAAAAGCAATAAAATGTTAGCAGCTCTGGGTAGTGGGTGATTTTTATTTTCTTCATTATGTTTTCCAAATTATCCATGAGTACCTGTTACCTTTATAATTAGGAAAACAAAGCAAAACAAAACAAATGAAAAAGAACGAATCATTTTTCCTCTCCATTCTTTTTTTTTTAATTGAAGTATAGTTGATTTACAAGGTTGTGTTAGTTTCAAGTGTACAGCAGAGTGACTCAGTTATACATACATATATATGTGTGTATATATATGTATACACACACACACACACACACACACACACACACACACACATCTATTCTTTTTCAGATTCTTTTCCCTTATAGGTTATTACAAAGTATTGAGTATAGTTCCCTGTGCTACACAGCAGGTCCTTGCTGGTTATCTGTTTTATATACGGGAGTGTGTATATGTTAATCCCAAACTCCTAATTTATCCCGCCTCTCCCTTCCCCTTTGTAACCATAAGTTTGTGTTCTGTGTCTGTGGGTCCATTCTTTTTGTTTAATTTAAAAATAGCTTTTATTAGTATTTTCCTTACTACCAATGCAGTACCTGTTCATTACCAAAAAAACAATTCAGCAGATATAAAGAAGCTAAAAGAGACTTCCCTGGTGGTCCAGTGGTTAAGACCCTGCACTTCCACTGGCAGGGGGCACGGGTTCGATCCCCGGTCGGGGAAGTTCCGCATGCTGCCTGGTACAGGCAAAAAAAATTTTTTAAATAAAAAAAAATAAAGAAAGAAGCTAAAAGAAGAAATAAAGAATACCTGCAGCCATCTTCCTGGACATACCTTGGCATACCTTACTACCTTGGCATCCACAGACCCCACTGGAAAGCCCTGCACTTCCTGTCTGGGAGGGTGTAGGGCCCAGCCATGAGGGAAAAGGCATGGTGTACCACACATGAACCCCTGGCCGCTGAAACTGTGGCTAAGGCTTGGCTCTGCTCCTGTGAGGATGCTGGGATGCAGCCCAGTCTTGCCACTCTGCAGCCACCTTCAATGCAGATGGATCACATCAGCCCTGAGACATTCCACAGACTTTCATAGGTATTCACCCAGGGCCAGGCCAGTGCTGGGCCCTGGGGGCTCAGAGATGGGTCAGATGAGTCCTGTCCTCCAGAAGCTCACAGTCTGATGGGAAGACAAGCCCACAAATAAATGACAACAACACAGTGTGACAAGTGTGAAGAGGGATGCACAGAGGGCCGTGGGAACACAAGAAGGACCCCTCACCTGCCCCTGGCTCAGAGAGGACTCCCCAGAGGAGAGCCTGAGCAGTGATGGGAGAAAGAGGGAGCATAGCATACCCCGTGACTGGGAGGCTGGGAGAGCATGAACACAGGACAGGATGATGGGCTAGCAGTAGGGCTCAGTGAGGGAAGGATTCTAATTGTATTAAGCCCCAAGCTCCATACCAGGCACTTGATTATTTTTTAAATTTTATTTTAGAATTTATTTTATTTTACGTATTCGGGTTTTTTGGCTGCGTTGGGTCTTTGTTGCTGCACGTGGACTTTCTCTCTAGTTGCGGTGAGCGGGGGCTACTCTTTGTTGCGCTGCGGTGGCTCCTCTTGTTGCAGAGCATGGGCTCTGGGTGTGCGGGCTTCAGTAGTTGCGGCATGCGGGCTCAGTAGTTGCAGCTCGTGGGCTCTGGAGCACAGGCTCAATAGTTGTGGCGCACGGGCTTAGTTGCTCCGTGACATGTGGGATCCTCCTGGACCAGGGATCGAACCTGTGTCCCCTGCACTGGAAGGAAGATTCTTAACCACTGCACCACCAGGGAAGTCCCATACCAGGCACTTTATGTCATCTCTTTAATCCTCATGACAGTTCTGAGATAGGTGCTATTCTGGGGAGGTGCTATTATTTTTTTACCAGTGAAGAAACCAAGGCTCAGAGAGGTGAAAGAACGTGCCCAGATCGCATGACTGGGGGTTTACCTGCAGATCTGCCCGACTCCTGATAGTCCAGGAAGCATTCCATGCAGTAGTGTGGTGTGCAGTGGCTGTCACTAAAGCTGATGAACACTCAGACTGCGCACAGAGGCCTAATCTCTAGGATGTCGGTGAATACGTCACTGTGCGGGTCAGGCACTAACCTTCTAGGCACTGATCTTAAAGAGGCCTAGAGCCAGGAAACAGGTTTGGTGATGGGGAGCTGATGGAACAGGTGCCTCTTGGGAGCTCACTTTGATTGCCTGGCTCTCTGTGCCAGGCACTGAGGTATAGTATATCATTTAGTCTAGAGATGAGCAGGCTCAGGGTCCAAGACAGGGGCCTCCGATCTCTGCAGGGTTGCCCTGGGGCAGAGGAAGCAGCCCGGAGGGCAGGGCTGGGATGGCAGTGGGAGGACAAAGCTTTGGTGGGAACAGGTGTCAGCTCAGTGTTAGGTGGGAAGCCTTCCCTGGCAAGGGGAGTCAGTCTGTAATGGAGCAGACTTCCTTGGGAGGTAGTGGACTGCCTATCAGCAGAAGTATGTAAGCAGAGCCCCGTGGGGATGCTTTAGAAGGCAGCCAAGCCACTTGCAGGATGACTGCACCATCATGTTCCCTTTCAGCCTCCAGATTCCATGATTTCTGTTCCATAGACCTCATAAGCTGTAGCCTTTCACAGGCAAGGATGGTTTTCTGGAGGAGGTACAGAGGCAAACTCAGATGGGTGGGACACCCAGGAAGGGCAGTGCCATCCAGTTCAAGCAAGCCCAAGAAAAGCCCCCGTAGTGGATGGCTGGGGTCAGACCCCTTCCCAGCCCACCCCTGTCATATACCGTCCTGTTCCCTAGTATGGTGAGCTCCTCATGCTGGCTGCTGGCACTGGCCTGGCCCCCATGGTGCCCATCCTGCAGAGCATCACAGACAACGCAGAGGATGAGACCTTCATCACCCTGGTCGGCTGCTTCAAGACCTTTGAGGACATCTACCTGAAAACCTTCCTCCGGGAGCAGGCTCGTTTCTGGAATGTCCGCACCTTCTTTGTACTCAGCCAGGTGAGCCCAGGGGGATGATTTCCTTCCCTGATTGAGACTCTCCTGTGCCCTGCACCCATCTTGAGGACGTGCTGTGGGCTCTCTGCCCTGTGCCGTAATAGTCATCCCTGCCACTGGTGGAACCCCCAGTGTGTGCCTGGCAAGGAAGGCAGGTGTTGCCGTGTTCATTATGCAGATGAGGAAACTGACGCTCAGAGGTGAAGGCACCAGCTGGTGTCGTGCTGCCAGACAGGGTGAAGCCAGGATACGAACCCGAGACTGTCTGCTTCCAGGGCGCCAGCTCTCACCCACCATGGCTTGCTGCCTGCTGTCCACCCTCTGGCATCCCCTGTTGTATGGGCGGGGGGCCTGGTGGTAGAATCAGTGGGCCAGGCGTAGCTCCTTGAGGCGGGGACCGCGTGTCTGGGTCACCACGCTTTCAGTGCTTTGCACAGCACCAGGCATGGAGTAGGCACTCACCCCGGCAATGGCTGGTGGAGTAAACCGGATCCAGTTCACTGCATTTGTTAGGGTCTTTTCCACATCACTTTGTTCCCACCTGGGAACAAAGCTGCTTTCAAATCCTCCAAGTTACAGCCACTCTAGCTGGAAGCGGCTTTGCCTCCTGAGCCCTCTTCCCTCTGGTTCCCCATCCCCTCCATTCATTCAAGCCACCCCTCTGGGCCCTCCCCACAGGGCCGCAGCGTGGAGGGCTGTCTTGCGCCTTACCTCAAGCCAGGCCCTCAGCTACCTTTGTTCACTGGCCTTCACCTAGTCTGTAGCTTTATTTCTCTTTCCTGCGCGCCCTGGGTTGAGGTTCCCCTGCTGGTGCCTCCCCTCCATTCTCTTGGTCAGGGTCAGCCTCATTACCCTGTACTTTGGAGCACCCTTGTCATCAGTTTCCTCTTGAGACAGCTTTAGAGTGTCCCGAAAGACTTACATGATCCTCGACATTGTGGCTGGGTGGGGGAGGGTGTCAGGAAACCAGAGGTCCTGAGGTCCCCAGGGGCCAGAGTCCACAGGCCTGTGCATGGGGCAGAATGCTCAGTGGCATGAACACCGAGGGGGTCATGCTTGGTGAACATTAGCAGCGACAGCAGTGCCCAAGGTCAGGGATGAAGCAGAGGGCTAAGGTACAGCCGAGGGGAGAGGGGCAAGGGAAGGGCCACTCCTGCCGGGAGCACGCTCAGCCCTGCCTAAGAGCTGGTCGGGGAAGGTGGCAGGAAGGCAGGCACCTGGCAGAATTGCCCTGGCTGTTGGCCAGCCTTCCTTTCCCCCACCACGTGCCAGGTGCCAGGGATTTAAAAACGAAAATGGGACGTCCCTGGCGGTCCAGTGGTTAAGATTCTGTGCTTCCACTGCAGGGGACAGGGGTTCAAAGCCTGGTCAGGGAACTAAGATCCCACATGCCACACAGGGCGGCCAAAAAAAATTTTTTTAATAAATAAATAAAAATAAAAATGAAGATGACCTCTTACTGCCCTCCAGGTGCTCATCTATATATGTGGAGACAGCCACGGAGATGGCTGACAAGGGCTCCCCTTCATCGAGCACTTTCTGTGTGCCTAGCACTGTTCTAAGCACTTTATGTGTACTAACTCATTTAATCCCCACCACCATCTTAGGAGGCTTCTACTGCCATCATGGCCGTTTAATAGATGTGGAAACTGAGACACAGAGAGGTTAAGAACCTTGCCCAAGGTAAAACAGCAAGTTGGTGGCGAGGCCATGCTCTTATTGCTTGTCAGTGTAAGACAGCTCAGGGATAGGTGCTGTGGAGGGTGTTCAGGGTGCTGGAGGCAAGCAGAGAGGGCTTCACAGAGGAGATGGCATTTGAGCCCGGGCTTGAGGGCAGAGTTAAAGTTCACCAGCAATAGGGGACCTTCTACCCTGGGCCGGGGCTTTGATGAGGCCAGTGCCCTGAGGTTGGGCAGGTGAGTGGGCTGGCTGTCAATAGCCGGGGAAGGTGAGGGATGATGGAGTGAGAGGTGCCTCCTGCCTGTCCATGCTTCCTCCACTCCGGGTGCTGCCTGGGCCATAGCGACAGCATCATCAAGGGTCTCCCTGCTCCAGCCACTCCTTGACGATTTGTCCTTCATCCTGCAGCCGGAAGGGCAGCTCTGACCACATCCCTGCCCTGCTTCCTGTCCTTCCCTAGCTCCCCACCGCTCTCAAGACTGGCTGTGCCAGCCCTCCATGGCCTCCCCTTCTGGCCCACTCCCGCTGCCTGCTGCGTTCTGGCGTTACTGGTCTGCCTGTGGTCGCGAGCGCTCTGTGCTTTTCTGGCTCCTGGGTCTTTGCTCATACAGTTCCCCCTGCCAGGCACACTTTTTCCCACTTCGTCACCTAACGCCCACTCATCCCTCACATCTCTCTGCTAAGGTGTAATTCCATCCTGGGAACTTTCCCTGAGCTTCCAGGCTGGTGTAGATGTTTCTGCTGTCACGGCCCAGGCTCTGCCTCCTAGCACCCACCCCACTGCATCATCATTGTTTATGGGTCCCCTCCCCACTTGAACAGCAACCAGACCCCATGCATCTCTGGGTGCACAGTCAAGGTCAGCTGCACTGAACCTAACTGGCCTGGGAGGATCGGGTATTGGGAAGGAGGGGCAAGGCCAACGGGCCCTACTCGTTCCTGCCCTCGAGGGCCCATTGGGCAGGTCAGAGCACGAAGGGCACGCAAGAAGATGCAGATCATCAGAGAGTGTCCCCTGTCAGCAGCACAGCACTGTCCTCAGAGGCCCTCGGGGTCTGACGAGCTCTGTGAGTGCGCCTGAGATTCGAGGCCTGCATTCGTGGAGCCTCTCTCAGCGCTTCCCCATCCGCTGCGCTCATCTCAGTAGCTCAGAGAGGTCATGACTCCTCAACAGAAAATGGTGGCAAAGCTTGGATTCCAACCCCAACCCCTCTCTCTCCATCCTGTCTCGCTGCAGGCCCCAGGAACCAGAAGTTCATCTCAATAGGGTCTGCGGAGGTGATAGCCCTGTTCTGTTGCGGGTTCTGTTTCGTTTTGGACACTGGTTACGTGGCTTCTTCTCTTTGTTAAAATTCTCCAAACTATATAAACTTTACGATTTTTATACGTATGTTCTACTCCAATAAAATGTTTACTTAAAAGATATTCTTCCAAGTAGTGGAGATTTTCTTTTGTGGCCCTGGGAATGAAAGCCACAAGCTAAGTCTAGAGGGGCAGAAAGAGAAGGAGCCTGGGGCATTGCACACCGCCAGAGTACTACCTCTAGCCTTTTCATGTGAGAGAAATAAACCCTTCTCTTGGTTAGGGCACTGCAGCCAGGGATCTCTGAAACACACAGCCAGATGGGGCCAGGAACCCTGTCTGTTTAGGGCAGCTGCCGTATCCCCATTGCCTAGCACCGGGCCAGGCACAGAGTCACTCAGTAAACATTTGTTAACTCAACAAGCTAACTGAAATCTTAAATGAACAAAAGTTATGCTCCAAGGGTGATGGTGATAGATAACCTTGGAAAGATGCTAGGAGACCCACAGTCATGGTGAGAAAACATTCCCCCCAGAGTGACAGGTGCAGTGGCCCCAGGTTCTGGTCCTGCTGCTGCCCCTGCATCATTGTGTGCCCCGAGAGGCATCCCTCCTCCCTGTGCATCAGCTGTTGTGGAGGACAACTACCTACCCAGAGGCTTCTGTGAGGGTGATTTGAGTCCCAGTGTGAGGAAGTACCTGGCCCGTGGTGGGGTTGGGTGAAGGTTGGCTTCCCACCCCCTCTGCCCCAGTGTCCTTGTTGACCAGAGAGGAGCTGACCATGTGAACTCTGAGGACCCCCAGTAGTCACCCCCACTGTTTCTCATCCTCCCAGGAGAACTCCCTAGAGCAGCTTCCCTGGAGTTACCGGGACAAGACCCACTTTGGCCGCCTGGGCCAGGACCTGATTGAAGAGCTGGTCGGCTCCTGTCGGAGAAAGCCGTTTGCATTGGTCTGTGGCTCAGCTGCGTTTACCAAGGACGTGGCCGGGTACTTGCTGAGCGCAGGCCTGGCCGAGGACTCCTACTTCCTCTTCTAGGCCTGGCCTCCCTTCTAAAGCTCAGGCCAGGGGCCTGGCACTGGGAGGCAGGAAGGGACACAGACTGGAATCCAAAGACATGAATGGAAGACCGCCGCTAACTGTCCAGGTGACCTGGGACAAATGTCTTTACCTCTGCACACCTCCATTTCTCATCCACCCCACGCGGTTCCTGACGCCCTCAAGCAGGCATCCTACTGGGAGGAGGGAGATGGAGCTGTAGGAGCCTTGGGGGGGAGAGTATCGGGCCGGGAGTCAGGGAGGACTCCCTGGAGGGGGCCTGGTCCTGGCTGGGTAGGAGTTGGCAGAAGAAGGACTAACAGGGGCTTTCCTGGTTCCTCAGCTTCAAGGGTTTGAGAGGGGCTCCCACTCGGCCCCGCCCTGTAATGCCTGTGCCAAAGCCTGCTTTCCCTGGAGATTTGTGTCTCTTGTGACCTCAGGGCTGGCTCAGATGAGGTGCTCACTGGTTAGGGAATGACCATAGCGGAGGCTAGAGGAGGCACTTGCTCTATGTACCTCCAGTGCCGTGAGCCTGACACAATGAAGGTTGTGGGTTCTGTGACCTGAGCATGTCTCAGAACAAAGTGGGGCCCTAGATTACCTTTATTTTGGCACCAGGTCTTTTGTGCTGCAAAAGGCTTCACTCTCAGTCTCCTTTTCCTGGCTCAAGAGCCCAGCCCAGAGTCCTTTCCCCAGCAAAAGAGCCGTGAAAGCAAATGCCCCTCCCTCCTGCAGGCAGCCAGCTCAGCCATACCTTCAGCAGCAGCGCCCTGGTGATAGTTGCTATGGAGATCTAAAGATAGAGCAGGAGTCCGGAGACCTGGGTCCTTCTCCCTGCTGTGCCCACTGAGCTGCTGCTGTTTCTGAGGCACCCGCCCCTCCCCTCCACACCCCACCCCCTCCGTCCTTCATGGGGCATGCCCTCCGCAGGGAACTTAGCAATCCTGGATGGCACACCGCCGTTAATGAATTCTGCTTTCTGTAGCCTGGGCTCCAGTATGCTGCACCAGCTCAGGCTGGCTACAGGCAGTCCCAGAGTTGGAATATTAAGCCATGGAATCTCAGAATCAAAGAACCATAGAATCGTAGAGTTGGAATTTTGCAGTCATAGAATCACAACCCTCATCATATCAGAGGTTAAAGCTCAGGACTCCAAAAAGCATCCCATCTACCAGACTCATTGTATCAATGGGGAAACCAAGGCCCAGCGAGGCCATGTGACCTGCCCAAGGTAAAACAGCTCATGGCAAGGCCAGTGTCAGAAGCCAGGTCTCTAATGTCAGCCCTGTCCCCAGAGTTCTATACCAGTGATTTTTAAACTGGGCTCTGCAGGACACTACAGTTCCTGGCATGACAGCAGTGAAGGAATGACCAGGTGGGATCTCCAGGCCCCCTTCTGACCAGAACAGTTTTGTTTTTATCCCATTTATATCTTGGAGCTTGGAGTCATTTTCGTTTGTGAAACAGCGTTTTCCTGCACTGCCCAAAAAGTTGCAACAAATCTCCTTGCTGTGCCATGTTCAGTAAATAATTATGGCAAGCAGTTGGGGGATGGTGCCAAAGGTTTGAAACCAAGTTTCACAGACAGAATTCCATGGTCAAGTAGATGTGGGGAATACTGCATGTGACCTTCACCAGAAATCACGTGCACACGAGCATATTAAAGGCTCTGAAAAGTCCAGTGGTGAAGAAACGTTTTTCATTTTGTTTAACCCAGAGTTTCCCAAGCTTATTTAATTAGAGAACACTGTGAGACTAGCATTCCATGGACTACTCCAGGAGACGCTGGTCTGTTGCAAAGCCTCTTTTCAGCATAGCATAATCAGTGGGGATGCCCTTCCCTGAGAGGCAGAGGTCCCGAGCAGGAACTGTGATTTCATTCGGCCTCTCCTGTGACTTGAGCAAGGCACTTTCTTTCTCAGGGCCTCTGAATCTATGCATCTTCCTCCACCCTTTCTCCTCCCTCAGTACGTCCTATTGATTAAACTCACAAATACTCCTGGAGGGCCCGCTAGGAGCCAGACTCTTAGGCACTGAGGGAAGAACAATGAACAAGGTGGGTACGGTTCTGGGAAGCTCCATTGGGGAGCTTATAGTCCAACAAGGAAGGCAGAAATTAAAGTTGTAATTCTAAAGGGATGAGTGTGCTAAAAAGGGAAGTATGGAGCGCTAGGAGAATGGATGGCAGTGCTCTAGCCTGGCCTAGGGGAGGCCAGGACGCACCACTGCACTGAGGGTAGAGGCCTCTCACTCATAGTTAGGGGTGGTAGGTGGTCCCCACTTAGGGAGTGAGGGGTCTGGGGCAGTTCTTGTATGTCTGTCTTTTCCCATTTTAGATATTTGATGTTTAGCTATTACTATCCAGTGGTAACCAACAGCCCCTCTTACCCTAGAATGTGTCACCCTCCCCTTCCCCTCACTCCGTGTGGGATCTGTGCTGTCTAGATGCTGGTGGGGTTCTGTATGGGACATTGGTGAAGACCCAGCCACGCCCTGGGTGCCAAGATGCCGAAGGGCTCATACCATCCGGAAACTTGAGAGCTCATGGCTGGGTCCTCTGCCTCGAAAGATGATAAGTGAGCCCAAGAAGGGGACTAGGTGGAGTGTGTGAGCACGAACCTCTTTGAATCAGGGTGAGGTTCCCAGCTCAGGGTGAGCTGGCCCATTCCTCCCATCTCTCCTAGTGATGCTGTCAGGGTGTTGGTGACAAAATTAATGGCTGCCTTGGTTCGTCCCTCATCATGTTTTGGCTGCAGCATTCCCATCCTCAGCCTCCAACCTCCGGCCTCTCCCCTACACCCCCTTTCACACTGTGGCCAGACCCATTTTTTTAAATTGTAGTGATAACACTGTGTTGGCCAAAAAGTTCGTATGGGTTTTTCCATAAGATGTTATGAAAACCGGAACGAACTTTTTGGCCAGCCCAATACTTAACATGAGATCTACCCTCATAACAAATTTCTAAGTGTAGGATAGTTGTTGTTGAGTGTGAGTACAGTGTTGCAGCTCTCCAGAGCTTATTCAGACTGCTTCTTCTAACACGCAGATCTGAGCCTATCACTGCCTTGCTTAAATCCTTCAGTGGCTCCCTGCTGCCCTCAGGGTACAGCATCGTGGCTCTGCTTACCTCCCCAGGCTCATTTTGTCTTACTACCCCTCCCCTCAACTCTTATGTTCCAAGCACGTTCTCTTGCGTCCTTCAGTCCCTTCACATCTGCTGCTCCCTCTGCCTGGGCCAGCCTTCCACCCTCCGATCTTCCACTCGCCTAAGCCTCCTTGTCTTTAGAGGACTTAGCTTAGTGTCGTTGCCTCTTGGAAGCCTTGCCTGCCTCTATACTCCAGGCTAGATTACTGAGCAGAGTCTTGTGCGTTCTTCTGTTGCTGCACCCATCAAGCGGTCTCTTATGCATGTGAGCACATCAGGGGTCGTCCCTGTTCATTGTGTCCCCAGCGTGGAAGGGTGCTCAGTATATCCTGGATGTCAAACACCTGAATGATAAACAGCTAACATTTCATGGAGTCCTTTACAGGTTGCATAAGGCTTTTCACCTACATTGAAGCATGCAGTCGTCACCAAAATGCATGCTATTTTATTACCCCCAGTTTACTGATGAGGAAACTAAGCTTCTGAGACATTAAACAATCCTCCAAGGTCACGCAGGGGTACGTGCTACAATTGTTATAAAGGCTGTGTGTGACACGAGGGTGCACCAGGAGACATGTATAAAGACTTTCACTGCTGTACTGTTTGAAACCGCAAAGAATGGAAACTACCTATATGTTCATCGGTAAGAAAATGGAGAAATGCACTGTTCTATGTAGACTCACAGTGGAATACCATACAGCAGTTAAAGTGAGTAAACTAGATTTACATGTATCAACATAGACTAAATCCTAAAACCATAATGACTGAGTGAAAACCAAATTGTAAAAGGAAAGGTACAGTAAGATAGCCATATTTGGAAAGTTTAAAAACACAAAATAATACCCAATGCTCAGGAAGGAGATTCACCAACTTCAAGGATAGTGGTGACCTCTGACAGAGAGGAGGGAGGGGGATGGGATGGGATGAGGGCTTTTATCTGTGTCACTTTACTATAAAAATATCTGAAATGAATACAGCAAAGTATGATCATCTGGTAAATCTGGGTGATGGGTTCACCGTTGTCTCCTTTATTAATGTTCGATCTTAGTCTGTGTTGGAAATAGTTCCATAATTAGAGATTTGTTAAAATAAGATTAAATATGCTTGGTCAAAGTAATTCAGAAACTAGAGGCGTAAAAACATTCATTCCTTCTCTCCCACCTCAGGATAGGCGGTGCCCTTTTATGCCTCCAAGCTTTTCAGTCTTTCATTTGAAACTACTGCGAGTACCTACCGTGTGCCCTGATTAGTCACAACAGTCAATAGTATAAACCATGCCCGACACCCATAGCTTACATGCTGTTTCCTCTGCTTGTCTCTCGTCTTTTCCTCATAAACTCAAACCAGAGTGACTTTCCAGACTCCACAGTTTGGGACTTTTTGTTTTGTTTTATTGTGTTTTGTTTTCGTTTTTTAAGTGAGGCAGGCCTAGCTTCAAATCTCTTAGTGATTCTGTAGGTATACAGGGCAAGTAACTTGGCCTCTCTGGGCCTCAGTTTACTTATGCATCTATAAAGTGGAGATGGTACCACCATCTCCCAGGACTGTGTGAGGATGAGGGAAAAGTATGTGATGCCCAAGCACATTGCCTGGCCTGGAGCGAGTGTGAGAACCAGCCCCCTTCCTCTCCCCTCCCTGGAGGCCCTCCCCAGCTGTGCCTGGTTCATGCTGGTCTCTGGACGACAGCACTTGTTCTCAAACGTTTCACTATCAAGAACTCCCTTTTTGGGGCTTCCCTGGTGGCGCAGTGGTTAAGAATCCGCCTGCCAATGCAGGGGACATGGGTTCAAGCCCTGGTCCGGGAAGATCCCACATGCCGCGGAGCAGCTAAGCCCGCGCGCCACGACTACTGAGC